TATTAAAATTGTACAGTTGCAATATTTATTTTTGAATATTAAATTTCGAATTTGTTCCAATGCTCCCATTGACTGTTTCATTTCATATCCCGTCACTGTCGTCAACGAGACGTCGACTGATCGAGACGTCGTGCAAAGAACCAGTCCAGTCTGCACCAAGCTTTTTTTTTTAAATTTCCACGCAATAGAACAAGGATCGCTTAACGAATGGCACAGGTCTCCTTTTGGTGCTGTAGCTCCTCTCGTTAGTTACAGCAATTGAAAGACACTTTAATCATTTACGGCGCAACATCTACAATGAAAAGGCGATTATTTTCAAGCCAAACTTTCAGTGGCCACCATAAATTCATTGTTTTAGCAAATAAGACCGCACTTGCAGAATTGGTCACTCTTTCTAATACTTTTCGTGTTAACATAAATATTACTCCGGGTTTATCACGGTTGAGAGTTTCATTAACTACATTGGCAACGTATCTTCTGGTCACATCTTTGTTTCGTCTATTGAGGTCCACATTCTATTGCAGCCATTTTTCTTACTTTTCGAAGGTTTTATTGTAACAAACTTAAATAGTTCTTCCTAGGTGTGGATTCGGTAATGATTGAATGTTTTTTGTGTTATTTCTATGAATTATTTAAAATCAAGGACATAACTTTCTATAAAGACATATTTCAAACTACATCATTTGGTATAAATCCTTTTAAAACTCACGTGATGTGTCCGTTGGTATAGAAAGCTGAATCTTTCTCGTGACACATTACTCGCACATCCAGCTTTTTTGCGCTGGAGAATTACAGCGTTGTGCAATAAAACGCTTGTCGGTCGTAACTTTCACTGCACCGAACTAGCAAAATATATTTTTCCATTCGTATTAAAATACTTCTCACCGAATTATTTTATCCCTTTAAGTTGTACGCTACCCGAACAATTCACTTTCGGCATATTTGTCTCAAGCACCTACTGTTGTCAAGACATGGTAGGATACAAATGGTGGATTTTATAGAAGGCATGGTTGCGTAGGCTTCCGCGGCCGGAGTTTATGTTGTCTAGGCTATCCGGGAGGAGCCGCGTCACTGACAACGTGGCTAACGATACGGCCAGCGTATTGTGTCCTTCTTCAAAGCGTACTGCAATACCCCCTAAGAAGGCCTCAATACACTGGCCGAAACGTTAGCCACCATGTCAGTGACGCTTTATAGAAGGCACCTAAACCGTTAGGGACGATAACGAAAGACATTAGTTCCAGAAACTAAATTTTACATCGGTTCTCGGTTCTCTAACCGGCGCGGTCGTTGACGGTAATGTTACTTATTGTCTACTGGTGGCTCGTGCTTAGTTTGCACGGTTGCACAACCCCCAGATAATCGAAAAAGATCATATAATATGTTACGAATATACATTTTCCTTTTGATGAATTCAAGATTCAAGATATAACCGCTATATCTATGTAGTTCAAATCATTTTGAAGCAAAAGAAAGCCCAACTAGCGCACTCTCCGCCGCGTGGTGGTCTCCCAGGTATTGCACCGTGTCACGCTTTTGCTCTACGCTTTGACCCTACGCTTCAACATTGGACCTTTGGTGGCGCACCCAAATAGGTGGGGGTCTCGCGTTTTTTCAAAAATATTTGAATACTGATTTTTAATTAACTTGGTTTTAATTAAATCACGTGACTTGCGTTCATTTTAAATATTAATGTTCTGAATTTTGGAAATTACATTTCCATCATGCGATGGAGCTGTAACTTCCAGTTTGTTGGGACACAAGCCGCCACTACTATTGTCAAACGTTGTAAACGAGAAATAATTCTAAACGAACTATATTTCAAAGAAAATAGCCAGAGATTGTGAAATACTTTCTGAATACGTATATCCGACTAACGCAAATACGAAACATTTCCCTATTTTCTGTATTTCGTACAAAATATGACTCAAAAAATTTCCAAATTATGCATTTATATTGCCAATAAAAACTACTTTATCTTGTTCATAAAAATACAAAATACAAAACATGGTTATATTAACTTATTTGAGGAAAAACGTGCCACAATGAAAATATGACTCATAAAAATTCGAGCTCTAATGATAAGCATTGAGCGCAAACACATAACAATTTACGAAATAATTGTATTCTATTATATAAAATGAATGTGAACTGAAGAGTAAACAGAAAATTCCGCGTATTTTTTTTATCATTTGAATTAGTACCAACCGAACAACCGTGGCATAGCCCGAATTCCCTTGATGCTCACAACTATTTCCTCTTGGTCGGCATTCCTGTGACGTGCGTTCGCTGTTTTGGTGAAGGCCTCTACCGGTAGAATGCGCGCGATGCGATAGAAGTCAGCGAGCGCCGTCGGCGAGCGCGCCACGTACTAACGATTCCAGTCGCTCCCACAAGATAGAAAGAGCCCTGCCGGCCGAGGGCGATTTTCAGCGCCAAATGGCGCCTGTGAGCAGGGCCAAATTTACCTACAAGCAAAACAAGCAGTTGCTTGGGGGCCCCCATTCACCAGGGGCCCCGCGTTTCGGAAAAATACGCATACCATATTTTTTTGTCTGTGAAATAATTGTTAATCAAGTAGTTTACTGTGTAATAAAATGTACAATTTTTTACATCGACATCGAAAAGTAAACTTTGGATTCTCACCTTTCTTCACAGATTGAATCAGAAAACAATTACTGGAGACAAGTTTTGCTTAGAGTAATAGCCGTTATTTGTACATTATCGGAGAGAGGTTTAGCTTTTCGTGACAGTACTGAAACATTTGGCTCACCAGATAATGGCAACTACCTTGGATTGCTGGAGTTAAAAGCAAATTTTGATCCTTTTCTAAAACATCATATCGAGCAGTACCGCGATTGCGGATCGGGAGACACGTCTTATTTATCCAAAAATATTTGTATTTAATGTAAAAAAATGTAACACAAGTAAAAATTTCTAGAAAAATTATCAGTTTTCATTTGTATCTGTAAAGAAAGTGCTTGTACTATAATACATTTTTTATTTAATAAAGATAGAGCTATTTTGTCGGGGGGGGGCAACACAATTTTGTGCTTGGGGCCCCGCACTACTTAAATCCGGCCCTGCCTGTGAGGCCTCGCGCACGCCGCGTCTCTGTCGGGTGGGAAGGCGGGCGTGTGGCGTCAGGCCGAGCTCATTGCGCTACTACTCACGAAGGCGGGTGACAAATTTTGATAGTAAGTTAAGAGAGTAAAAAGTCCGAGTTAGCGCAAATGGAAACGAATTCACGCAAATGATATGATATTAAATGAAACGTGGTTAGTGATTACTTGGCTACCCGGGAGACGCCGCGTCCAGGGCACAGGTGCCAACGTTTCGGTCGCCGTTCTGCGATTTTCATCAGTATTGCTACACTGACACTACAGCAATACAACGCCCTGATGAAGGTCGCAGAATGGCGACCGAAACGTTGGTACCTACGCCCTGAACGCGCCGTCTCCCGGGTAGCCAAGTAAACACTGACTCCGGCCGCGAAAGCCTACGCTCTAACGTGGTTAGTGCTTACGGGCGCGTCCATTTTTATGATCGTTAGTGTTGTAAGTTTAGTGCGCGTTATATCCCAGGAGGTTGCTGCGTCCCCCTACCGCTGGAAAATAGATTCGGCATGGATCTACACGTCGGTGCGACGATTTTCTCCCTGTACGTATCTCCTCTAACAAATATGAGGCCCAGCTGGGACAAGGGCTATGCTCTCGACTGGTCTTCTGACGTGAATAGTAGTGAAGTGAATGTAAGTAGGTGTGTGAAAGGGAGGAAGCATGAGGAAGCAAAGATTGCGGACGCTCCATTGCCTCTTTCTTAAGATATTGCTTCGGCATGCGTTTGATATCGATAGGAGAAACCATGGGTAATCGAAGTAACGGCCACTAAAATAATCTTCAAGACAATGCATGGTCGAATTCGTCCTAGCTATGTATCATGTGTCGAAAATCCACCTCCTTGAGACCCAAACTCTGAAATTAGTAGGAATATTGTTGGAGTACAATATTTTTTTCATATGAACACTCTGAAACGTATTCAGAAATTTCACGCTAACATAATATTATCAATTTTTTTAATATCTTCAGTTAGCATCTCCTGATCCAAACAGCGTGCGGTATATTTATTACCTATCTTTTGTTATCTAAAGCCATTTACTCTACTTGATTATGGAAAGAGATCATCTTATTAGCTTTAAATGCTTGCAAATGTATGTTGAAACTAGTGGCGCTAAAACTGCACGTACTTTCTCGCCTTTAGTAATAGTTATGTAATTCTTTTTATACTAGTTATGTAATTCAATTTTTTAAATAAATTATAAAAATGAATGAAAGTTTAATCAATTGAAATTTTAGCTCCAACGTTTTTTATTAAATCGTATTGTTCGATGGTATGAAGGACATTTATTCGAATGATGCAGGTCGCATTTTTGTTTAAACCCTGATTTTTCGAAAGTTTCAAAACTTCAAAACTTTTCTACGTTCTAATTTCTATCCAGCAAAATTTAAATTTGTATTATATCCATAAAATTTCAGCTTCTGATATCTTATTTTCCTTCTTCTTGTTAAAAATTAACACTAATTTACAGGGCTTTCTTTACTAATCCCTTCTGTAGCAAGACCTCTCGCCTTCTCCCAAATAACTTTTCTCATAAAAATACCCGAAATGTACTCATTGGTCATGTGTCGAGTACAGGTAATTCTTTCACTGTCATCGTTTTTGTTCATTAGTACTTGTGAATGGCTGTATGCAACTGACGCTTATATTGAATTGAATTATAAAATAATTTTTCTGCGAAAAGTTAATGAAGACTGAAAATATGTATTTCAGGTAGGTATTTACGTCAAAGATAGGTCGACGTGGAGTGAGAAAAATGTGTGTTCTTTCTTATTTGACAAGTGAAAGAATCAAAGATCGTTCAAATTTTCCTCATGTACATGACCTGTATTAAAATGAGACTCAATACTTCATGTGCGAAGTGTATTGCAGCTGCGCTGAAGGCGTTGCTGCCTGGCTGAGTGTGATGCGCTGCGCTGCGCTGCGTGTTGCAGATCCCACGGGCAGCATGCCCCCGCGCCTCACGCAGCGCACCGTCACGTCGCTGGCGGCGGAGCAGGGCTCGGACGTGCACCTGAGCTGCGCCGCGCAGGGCCACCCGCCGCCCACCTTCACGTGAGCCCCGCCGCGCGCCTGCGCGTCTGCGCGCTTGCATGCGTCTGCGCGAACCCCCCAGCGCCACTGGCAGAGCCAATCCAGAGCCCGCTGAGCAAAAGCTTCGATCGTTTCACTTCGTTGAATTATTATAAATTATTTCACGTTTCACCGCGGTTGTTCCGAACCCAAAAACGCTTCCTTGGGGCACTCGGTATTGCCAAAGAAAGCAAAAAGAAATCATTTTCAAGAGAGTAAAATACTTTAAGAAGTATTTTATCATTTTGTAAAATCGTAAGAAGTATTTTACCGTCATTAGGTCCTGGGCGAGACATTTCATGAGTGAACAAAACACACCAGCGTGTTATTTTTTACAAGAATAGCAATAAATAATTCCGTTGCCTTTTTCGCCTCAGATACATAAATTCTCATAGGAAGTGTTTCATGTAATTTTTTAATGCCGTCGCATGCTGTATTTCACCGCAATTTAGAGTGCAGTTTCGAATCTCAAAGTATTACTATAGACTTGGGATGTCATTTACGTTATTTGCAAACACTGCATTTCTGACGGCCGGCTGGCAGGTTTAGGCGGATGTCACATTGGAGTCGATTTTGGCTGAAATTTCGGTCGGCCGACGTCGAACCGACAAAACCAAACAAAACATATCCGGCCGACAGCCGATATTTTCGGACTCCCTCGGAAGAGGTCGTTCGGTTTCATTATGACCATTTCTGTTTACCATCACCTGTTAGGTCGAATTCGGAACGACGGACAAATACGGCCGACTGAAAATCAGCTCTGCCGCCTGAAGTTCTGTCTAAAATTTGTTTCCAAAAAGTACATTTTTCTGTAATTTTTAGAATTTTTGCTAGATTCTCTTTAAGTACATCACAAAATAAGGGAAATCGTCAAGAAACTGATCGATAGAAACAAACATTTTCTCAGAAAAACGACGTAAGAATCATTTTATCATCTAAACGGAGGTGGGTTTTTGTCGCATGAAATATTCACGCTTCATATGAAAATCAATGTGATAACTTTCCATCCCTGAAAAGGATCGTAAATCGATATGAAATTTTCAGTAATGAGTCTGGTGTTTTAGGAATATGTGGTATTTAGAGCACGTTAACCCGTATCTCATGAATTTTGTGAATCGAAATTTAAAATTAATGTTGTAGTGTTAAGTTTCCTTCATTGTTTTCTCAAATGAACATAAATATTAATCAAGCATGAAAAATGTTTGAATTATTTTCGCAAATGAAACTAAAGAAATGAATTAATTAAAATTAATTCACAACTTAGCTTAGTATTGCTCTTACTAATATGAATGATTGTAAAACAGGTTTATCTTTTGTTGAAAAAGTGCAGTTTATTATTTTGAGAATCTTTTTAAAATTCAATTTCATCACATAAATTCATACAACATCGTTAGTAAATGATATATATATATATATATATATATATATATATATATATATATATATATATATATATCGATACTTTAAAAAATTGAATATTTCCCCTTTCTCATGTCTTCTTTTGGCTTGACTTTCATTGAAAACACAAGCACCCAAAGTGTTGAGAATTGTGTTTCGTAATTATATAAACTTCATGTACATGTGAAGTATGCATTTGCGTATTTTTAACTTGTTTCCTACAAATTATACCGAAAACTAATGCTCATTAAAATTATCTTATTTTCATATTTCTTCAAAGGAGAACATTAATATTAGTATTTTACGTGTTTGCATATTCTCAAGTCATTCATTTCATATATTTGAAATATATGAATATAATATTAATTTTTATATGTAATTTTCTATTTACAATTTGTTTGGTGTCTTTATTGTAACATAACGTAATGATCACAACAGTTCAAAGTGTAATCACTATTATTATTATTAAAGCTAATTCAGTATCAACATGTTGCCCACAACATATTGCCAACAACTCTTTGTGGAAACAGAACTTTTGTTTGAGCGCCATTTTCTAGTTGTTTTTAGAAAATTACAATTCGCTAATATTTCTGTGCTTGAAGAAAATAAACTTGCGACAAATAAGGCAAAATGAGAAGTCATAAAGTCGTAATTGTCGATCCGGTGGCCGATATTGCTAAGAAAGTAATGCCGGAACGATCTTGCGCCGAAGGTTTGCGGGTTCGATTCCCCACTCAGGCATGGTTGTAATTGTGTTCGTCCTTTCAACCCCTATCACCACCATATCATTTCATCTAGTTCACAGTTATCCATAACATTTAAAGCAATACTGGTCGCTAATGACCTATATGGTGAGGCGACCTTAAATAACAAAAAAATATAAAATAACAAAAACGTAATTATTTTGTAGTGTTTCTATGACTCACTACGACGATTCTGTAATATTAATTAGTTTGGGTTTTATTATTCTTAGAAATCATAGCTAAACAAAGTACTAAAACTAAGTTATAGTAAATCATAGCTAAATAAAGTACTAAACAAAGTTCCCAGCATTTCATTCTTTCGAGGGTCGAAATGTAAGCAGCCCTGTGCTCTTCGCCAACGCAGGCCGAGTCCCTGTGCGGTGCTCCCATTCGAAAACACGCACCTCGGCACTTCTTGCACGACGTCAACAGACCCAACAGGCCTCCTGGCACCCGCCCACCCGTCCGCTCAGATTAGCCGCCATGTTTACACAGGGCCGCCAACTTCTGCACAAAACAAATTAAGTTGCTCCGCCCTACTTCAAATTACTTGTGCTAATTAAGGGAGACGCGGCGGGCTCCGCGACGGAGGCGACGTCGGAGGGAATGGTGGACGGTGCTGAAGTGGTGGAAGTGAAGCGGAAGCGGCTCTAGAGCGTGACGACGATCAGAGGAGAATGAGAGGGCGAACGTAGTTATCATTCTTGTAATGCTGAAGCCCATGACGACGATGCCATGTGGGTAGAACTGTTGTTCACAAAACTGAAACTAAAGAGATGGGAATGGTGCAGGGTCAGAAAAAATCGTGTAAATACTAACGAATGGATAGGCATGATTGTTACCGTGGAGGTACTGGTGGCGGTGGTGATAGTGATAAGGGAGTGTGAAAATGTGGTGGTGAAGATGCCGAGTTTCACAGATTTGCCTTTGATGACAATAGCAATTCTGTCAACAATAATAATAAGAATAGGATTGAAGGCAGCTCTAAAATAGTGCTTCAGACAGGGACAGCTACGAGGGGAGTTGACGTGTGCGGCGCGGCGCAGACCTGTGACGTCAGCAGCAGCGCGAGAGCGAAGAGTCGAGGTCAGGAGGGGCGCTGCAGTGGGATGAGGGACCGCCCCCTGTGGCCGATCGGAACCGCTCCCCCCCACCACCACCACCCCTCCCTGGAGCACAGGCCTTATTTTATCAAACTTTCCTGAAGCTTCCTCGCGGAAAAAGCGGAAGGGCGGTAATGGAGCTGGAGGCGAATTGGCGTTGATGAACTCCCTTCGAAAAATCGTCCTTCTCTTTTTTCTTGACAGCCCGAGGATGGGCAGCCCTAACATTGTTCGGCATTTATAAAACAGAAGTTCAAAAGGTGTGTTTTTTTGGTCAAGAAAGGTAATTGATGTCAACAATGATAGAGTGATAAATCTATCATTGTTGACATCAATTACAAGAACAGCTGACACAATAAATTTCGCCCACTAAACTTGTAATTCGGTAACTAAAGAGCAATAATACTTTTTAACATTCATTTTCTAAATGAACCTGTTCAATTGGATTGGCAATATTGGTCGTAATATCTGCTCTCCGAAATACTTTCGTACAAATGTGAAGAACTAATACAAAGAAGATTGTCTCCTTAATTATTTCAGTAGGGTACATACCTTTTCCGCTCTCACACGCAACCAATATTTATAAATGATGTCTCTAAAGAAAGATAATTTCACGTAGTCGTAACGAATTGCTCTTTGACTTTAAAAATGTGAAGGATCAAATAGCAAATGCAACCCGCAGTACTTAGTCGGCTATATCGTTAAATAACTCCTAAATGAAGTGTTTTAGGGCCTTAAAATCTAAAATTTGGAGACCAAAGTCCTCAAAAAACATTCATCACACCGTAATCTCTGGTATGACATATTCGTGGACATTCTATTAAATCTTTGCTGGTTCGGAACTTATCGAAACAACCAATGCTACCTAGATTTCTACCGTTGGTGATGGTGGCCATCTTTGAGATGTCACGCTATAATAAGGCTAAGATCCCTCTGTATTATATCATTTACGCTTCTTATTTACACCGTAGTTTGCACAGATTGGCGGGGTTTATTTGCATAATTATTAGTTCAAGATTCGCTCTCGCAGCAACAACTAGAAGTACTATTAATAGTTAATTGAAACAGATGAAGATTGTTGCTTACACGTGTAGTGAAAACATTAATGTAACGTTTAGCCGAGATCTACAAGTGCCGTGTACCTAATTGTGGAGGGATGTGTGTGTACAGTGAAGAGTGAAGACGTGTCTTCTTAGGTTCGTTTGTGTTATACCTATACCAGTATTTTCGTCATCAACAGTGCTTCGGTGAAATTTTCAAGTCAGCGTGTTCAGTCATGTAGCTTTCTTAAGAGAAAAAACCTTTTCTAATATTTTTGTGACTATCAAGGAAAACGAAAAGCTCACTGTCAAGGAACTTCAAATGTTTTAAGGAAGTGTGAATTGTTCGAAGAACATCTCTTTATTACTGAATAAACCTTTATTGATAATTCGTTTCCAATGTCAATTGCATGTTTTTTTTATTTTTTGACATTGTTTAAGTACGAAGTAACATTTGTACATTTAAAAAAAATGGTGGGGATTAACATGCGAGAGTTCTCGCACGGGTACGCTAGTTCTTATTTAATGCAAATAGTTATGTTTGGTGTATAACGCCAGGATCTTATATTTTTAATTTCGATTTTTACATCGCTTCCTAAAAACCTCTCAATTACAATGGTCTGTTTGTAATGAACATTTTTTTCTAACATTTTGCCAGAGAGAGAGAGAGAGAGAGAGAGAGAGAGAATGCCACCAAA